TTCAGCCCCCCTCCCTGCAGCAGAGGAAGAGCAGCGACTGTAGGGGGAGTGGCCTGTGAGGGTCCGAGGGAGACTGACCACTGCCCAGGGGGTGGCTCCAGAACCCTCCCTGCATGGTGCTGGGCAGGCACGGTTTCATAGCTGCATACTAAACAGCACGTGCCTGTGGTGGCCTGTGGCGGCCTGTGGCGGCTTGTGGCGGCCTGTGGCGGCCTGAACCGACGCCTTATACCAGCCAACACAAAGCCAGGTTCAGTCAGTGACGTCCCTCCTCTTTTAATTCTCATAATGCCCCAAGAAAAATAGGCACGTTGTTTTCTGTTATGCTACCAATTTCACAACGCGTTACATTTTATGGACGGGAAAATGAGGTTTGTGAGAGTCTGCATCTGTCAGAGATGACAGAGTCTCACAGGTCTGCACTGATTAATACGTGTGTGTGTCTGTCCAGCCTGCTCTCATGTGAAACCTCCGTGGCTACGGCTTCAAACTGAGCTACAACCTGCAGCCTCTAGAAAGAAAATGCTAGTATCTGCATGTTTCCTTCCACTACTGAGTTGAGAAGCATCCGGCGGCACAGATTCTCCAGTCAGGTGCTGGTGAAGCTGCATTAGTGAGAGGAACGATGCTAAAGCCATAAAACGTGCACTGTTAACATCTTATATCCGGTATGTAAGGGAAATGAACCAGGATGGTGTCACGATAACAGACACACAATTAGCTGTTCACATCCCTGATGTCCTTTCGGAGGTGATGTGTGTGTGTGTGCATGTGTGGGTGGTTCTACGAAACCACGTGCATGACCTCGAAGTCATAACACAGAGCAGATGTTGCAAGCGCCTGGGGAGGGACAGGAATGTGAAGGAGACCCCTGACTATTGTTTGTGTTAAATAAATGCACACACACAGGAATATGAAACTCCCAGTCAGGGTCCTGTTGTTAGTTATTTTAATGTCTTAGCAACAGTGACTCAACACAACAGGGTTAAAGACGTCACTTTGTTCTGTCATCGTCCACAGCTTTCACCAAAGACTCACTGCCACACTGTTTTCTCAATACGTTGTGACTTCCCTTCTCTTTCTGAGGTAGATCTTTACTGTCACACTGTTAAAATGCAGTAGTAGTACTTGAGGAGTAAAGTAGTATTTGAGAGGACAGAGCTACTAGGGTCAGCACTGAAGCTCAGATTGGCCGACACCTTGCACAACGTTACAAATGGCTCTTTTTAATATTATTAAAACACGTGGATCAGGACTGACTGATGGCAGAGGTGGAGGTCTGACTCTTCCAGCTACATCCAAGTCCAACCGATCTGTTTACAAACAACACTTTCCAACATTTCCAGAATTTTTCCAAACCTTTCCTCATAACTCTCCCTGCAGAAATGGGACCCGGCCCTGCAGCTGGTTGCACAGACCTACGCTGCTAAATGTATCTGGAGACACAACCCAGACCTGGACAACACCGGAGAGAACCTGTCTGTCAGGACCGGGACTATGGACCTTCGAGAGGCTATGGAGAAATGGTTCCTGGGTGAGTTTGGTTTGTCAGAGTGCAGCAGGTGTTTGTAAAACCAGACTCCAGCAACAGGACTTGTGATGGAGTTCTTAAGTACTATAGTACTGATACTTCCAAATACTTCCTCCACCACTGCTTAGAGCTAATTATGTCTTGTTTGTAATGTGACTGACATCTGTAGAACGCATGGACTACAACTTCCAGAACAACAGCTGTGATGAAGATAAGATGTGTGGTCACTATACACAGGTTAGACACACACACACACACACACACACACACACACACAATCACCTACAATGTCCGTACATAGACATACATTAATTTCCAGGAGACTTACCCTAAACCAAAGCCAAAGCGTGATCTAACCTTACACCCCATCATTTTAACAAATCACACACACACACACACACACACCTTCATGTTTATACACACATGTGTCTGGACTGGAGTTACAGTAAACCCTGTGCACGTATGTGTGTGTTACAGATGGTGTGGGCAGATTCGCACAAAGTCGGCTGTGCCACCCACATCTGTGACACCATGGAGGGACTGACCTGGAGAAAAGTCTTCTTCCTCGTCTGCAACTACTTCCCAGCGTCAGTACTATTATTACTACAGTATTACTACTACTACTACAGGAATACCACTACTGCTACTTTTGACTGTTACTATAACACCACTGTTAAGTACTGCTCCTACTACTATACCACTAGTACTACTTCTAGCACTACTAGTTCAACTACTACTATTACTACTCTTAGTACTACTGTTATTATTACTAATAACAGTAGTACTACTAGTTACATTAATATTGGATTACCATAGTTACTCTGTCACTATTACTAATACTACCACTTGTACTACTACTACATGTAGTGTCACTGAACTATACTACAGCAGTACTGTCAGTACTACTACTACTACAGCCACTTGTTATTGTTGCTACAATTGCTGTATACTACTACTACTATCGTCAGCACCAGTACTAGTAATACTATCTCTACTACTAACACTACTATTTCTACTGCTAGTACTCCTATTACTACTACAACTAGCACTAATAATATAGTACCGCTACTATTTCTACAGCTACTACCATACTAGAACTACTAGTGTAACTACTTTGCTGTATATTATTACCTTCATCACCTCTAATAGTAGTACTATCCCTACTAATAACACAATTATTTCTACTAATACTCCTTATGCTACTGCAGTAACTACTACCACCACTATTGTCTCTTCAATCTCTAGTACTTTTACAACAGTAATATAGTGCCAGTACTATATTTCCTATTTCATACTTACACTACTATCATCAGCTCTACATCTGCTATTAATGGTATTCTTTCTATTTGTACTACTTCTACTAACACTACTACTACAAGCAGACCTGCTGCTACTTTTATTGGTATTCTTGTTATTATTGCTACTACAGTACTTGTGCTATTGCTGCTACTACTACTGCTTCTACCTCTACCACAACTATTTCTGATCTGGCTCCTACTACTACTACTACTTCTACTACTACTACTAATACTACACTGAGTGCAGTACCACTGCTGCTGCTGCTACACTGTTAGAACGAGGGCTCCCCCTGGTGGACACAATGTCGATGTACTGTACTTCCCCTCATCACTGTGAGAAGGAGCCATGACATTTGACTACAACAAAGTAATGAAGTACACATTACCTCCTAGTCCTTGTATTAAATAGGTCTATTAACCCATAATGCACCTGTGTGTGTGTCCAGAGGGAACTACGAAGGCATGCAGCCGTACGTCGAGGGCGACTGGTGCTCCAGATGTCCAGAAAACCTGCAGAAGTGTGAAAACAACCTGTGTGGTACGAGATGCACCATTGATCATCTTACAATTACAAGATCTGTTTTTGTCTTTTGTGAATGCAGTGACCTCCGTAGTCACGTGACTTCCACTAGGCCTCAACACTACTTTGAAGCGTTGACTTCTCAGGACCAGAAGATCTTATTAGTCTCTTGGCTGCTTGATGAGTCATCCTCAAGTTTGTCTCGGGGCAATACATTTTATTTTAAGGTTTAGACTCATTTTTACAACCTGTCATATGTTACTGATACCAATGTCGACATGTCGTATAAAAGTAAAGCAGCCAAAGCTCAAAGGTCAAAGGTGATATTCCCACAGTGTCCCCTGTTAACAAAGGGCACTGACAGTCCACAACCATGCTAGCAGGCCTAGAGTGCACAATATTGTTTAGCTGCAGCCCTTAAGTCTGTTAGTCCGTGTTAGATGATCTGTTTTTGTTGTTGTGTGTTGTCTAGTTGATGACACTGTGGAGGAACCTAGCGGAGAAGGAGAGGGCAGTGAAGAGGAGGAGACAGTTGTTCCTCCTCCAGCAACATCTGAGCCCTCTCTTCAGCCTGAAGAGGAGAAGGAGGAGGAGAAGGAGGAGGAGAAGGAGGAGGAGAAGGAGGAGAAGGAGGAGGAGAAGGAGGAGGAGAAGGAAGCTGCTGCCACCACCACTACAACCAGTACTCCCAGTATCATGTCCACCACCACCAACCCCTTCATTTCTGAGGGCGTCCCACCACCAGACTCCTCCCCTTCAGACGTCCCCCAAGCAACTCAGGGAGCAGAGGATTGGGGGGTGAAGGATGAGACAACGCATAAGATGGAGGGAGAAGTGGGACCAGGCACATCAGAAATATTCCAGCACACTGAAGCTAGCACACAGAGCGCTGGCTCAGCACCTACACCTTCTGCTCTTTTAGCTGCTCTGACTGGGATCCTGACTCTGAGGCTGTGAGGAGGAGGAGGAGGAGGAGGAGGAGGAGGAGGAGGAGGAGACAGTAAGTTCACTGCACATTCCCCTGTTAATCTGGCTCATGGTAACAAACTGCTTCCCCTCTCACCTGCAGAGAAAAATGGGTTCACTAATAATTCACCCTCATCAAAAAAACAGCTGCTGTTCCACAACATCTGCTGGTCTGGACTGAGATCTGGGTCAGACAGTGTGCACGTAACCCCCTTCAGGAACACTTGGCCACCAGCCACTGACGTGTACTAACAGTGTTGCTAACATGCTGGGGGATTTGTTCTTGGGGCTGAAAACCAAGAGAACTCCACATTAGGGAAACATATTTCTGTTAAATTTGGGCTCATGAGGTGAAGCAGGAGGCGAGTCTGACCTCAGACAGCAGCCGTCTCTCACTGCCTGTTTGTTTTGATCAGAGGACGGTGAGATGAGCGATCAGTCTCGTGTGTCAGGACATGGTTAGCTTAGCTTCAGCAGGTGGAAACTGCTAGCATCGCTCCTCCCCCTGAATCTGTGCATGGCCCCACCTGAACGCTCCTCTGCAGCCAGGACCTCTCCTACAGAGGAGTGGTTTCCTAACATGCTCTTATCTCTGGTCCTCAAAACCACCAATGAGAAGTTCTGGCCAGTTAGACATGACCTCCTTCTCTGTCAGAGGTCAAAGCAGGTTCACCCACTAAAATCTGTAATTTGGTGCAAACACACTCTAATGTTCCTGACAGCAAAAACACAAAGCTGAAAACCAAAATGGGATTTAAGTGCTGCTACGAGAGGCTGCTCACCACCTGATGAACAGCCGGCCCGTGCACGCCGCCTCCTCCTTTGGATCTGCAGGTGGACTCGCTCTGTCACACACAGGATCATCTCATGTGGACAAACCATTGCACAGATGGAACGAGAGCAGAGCAGCGGAGACATGACGACACGACTGCTGTTTGTGTCTCGAGCCGACGACCCTGCTTCTTGTTCATCTGTTTCACTAACGTATCTACTGTAGACCTTGTACTGTCTCAGCCTGGAACGACAACTGGACACAGCCTCTAAGAGTTCACGCCTCTGTTACACTGTCTTAGTCAGCAGGACATTAACGTCAGAGTGCTGTAAATGTCTGTATATAAGATTCATAATGAAATAAACCTAAAGTACATGCGGCTGTTTGTAATCACCACTTCTAATCTGCTCCTTGAATCTTCATTTTAATGCTTCCTGTGTCAGCGGCTGGCTCTGCATTAGCTCAGTGCTCTTCTTCATGTAGCAGGATAAATATCTTCTTTTCACAAACAAAAGCTTCATTTTCAAGAAAAGACAATCGTGAGATAATATTTAGTTTTTAAATCATGTTACTCAAGATGAAAGTTAATCATCACACAATAACAGAGCAGTTTTATTATGATAAGAGGTTCATAATTTTATCTTGGGAAAACAACAGGTCATGGTTTTTTGACAGGATAAATGTCTTATTGTCCCATAAAGCAACAGCCTGGTCTTAGTGCGCTCACGTTAACGGAACAATTCTCTCTTCACTTACAGAAAACAAGCTTTTGAAGCAGCTTTGTTATCTTGAGATCACAGATTTGGAGTTGTAATGAATTAAACATTGTTAGTCTTCGATAACAAGATAATTAACTCAAATCTCTGCATATACTGGTAGAAAAGAAGAAGTTAGCATGAAAAGTTTAAAGAGGAGAAAATAGAAATGTGAAGGTGAGAAGACAGAGGAGCTGAAATATTCACTGCTCTCAGACTGTTTCTGCTACGTTTACTGCAGCAGAACAAAGTCCAAAGAGCAACTCCTACCTCCAACGTGACAGTAGTAGAGCGCCACCCATGTGTTGACCAGAGCCAGTGTGCGTCCTGTAGCGGCCCTGCTTGGGTCCTCCAACCAGAGAATGAGACTCCCACTGCAGCAGACACACAGTGACAACTGCACAGGCCTCTGGTGAGCACAGCACCAACAACCGTCCCCCAGGCAGTGTGTGTGTGTGTGTGTGTGTGTGTGTGTGTGTGTGCACTGACGGTCAGCAAGACACCAAGAAGGAGAATGAGAAAGATGGAGGGAGAGAAGAAATGGTGCAGAGACCCAACAGTATGGGGGGGAGGGTCACTGGAGCCAGAGAGGAGCAGCAGTGGCCTCTGGCTGTCCCCTCTCCTCACACCCTCTACTCCTCCTCCCCCTCCAGTGACTTCCGAGTGTGTGTCTGCATGTTAAGATGTGTGTTAACTCGGGTTAGTGTGTGTGTCTCTGGACTCGGCCGAGCCTCATTAATCCACGTTAATTTGACATGTAACTGTGAGTCTCTCGCCCTCTGACTCCGCAGCTCATCACCAAAACCACTTATGGCCTCACGTGTTGTTCAGGTCCCTCAAACAGGTTTTTGAATGTCGTCTGGTTTCGGTTCAGACTTTAATAGAGCCAACAAGCGGTGTGTGTCAGTGTGTGTCTGTTTTATGAGCTAACCCCAACCCAAAGTAAAAATATCTGAATGACATAAGTTATCTCTCAATGTTCTGTTTCAACCTGAAACGTATGAAGGGACAACAACAACTGATACAAATAGGTTTTACACTGTTCACAGCAAAAATAGGAAATGATCTTGTACTTACATGACAAAAAGTAACATACATACTTTGAAATAATAAATAAAACTATTGTTATTCCACTTGTAGCCAAAAATGAACTGTCTGAATGACTGTTTCAGATGCTTTACTGTCTGTCTGCTGCTCATGTGTGCAGACAGTGTGGAGCCATTTATTTTCCCAGACCTGACTGGGTTTTACCTGCAGAACACAAAGGACCACACAGGCCTGACACAGGTGTTTGGTCTTACATAAGCTGGCTGACAATGACAAGCACTGTGCACAGCGGTGGACTGCCACCAACTCGGCAGAGCAGACGTCTGGGCTGTTGGTCGTCTTCAGCATAAACAGAGTTAAAGGTTCCCTGTGTGGAGCAAACAGGACAGACACCGTCTGCGTTACCTGTGGACCGACAACATGTTACGCTGGTCAGTCCGGCTCAGGGCAGCGTCTCCACCACCGTGTGGAGCTCAGGTGTCTAAATCTGATGGCTTACACTAACTTGACTGTGCACTGGGGTTATTTAGGTAAAGTATTGGATTAAACCTGGTTTCAGCAGATACCAGACTCAGATCAGGGCCAAATAAAGGTGATGGGGACATTTCTGTTATCTCCTTTAACCTCCACATCTGAAGCTTTCCGCTCACTGAACTCTGGACCCTCCCACCGAGAACACGACACTTGTAGCTATTATCTACTGTAGTATTTTAATTATTTACTGCATTATTTTTTATTTGTGGTGCTACGTGTACTTTTTAACCGGAGCTCAGGAACCACTGTGAAATTAGCACATGTACATGCACAGTGTCACAGTCTGACACGGCACATCTCATGTTAGAATCAAACTCATGAATCACATAAATGACAGGGTAACGCACATTAGGTTGAAGCATGCGCACACACACAATAAGCTCAGCATCAGTTGAGGCTCGGGGCAGCGGTGCAGAGGCCGCAGGAGGACCAAGGAGACAGGAGGTGACAAGAGAACAAGGAAGGATGTGAAGAAAAGAGACTGGAGGGGGAAATGAGAAACAGAGAGGGAAAGGAGAGAAAAGCCATGAATGGATGCTCCAACTGACCCTGCTCTCAGCCAATCAGAGTGTCCGCCTCCCCTCCTCCTTGCATCCAGGCTCTGTGATTGGCCAATGGGACCAGCGATGCAGAGAAACTGAGACAGAGGAGAATAAGAAAGAAGAAACTGTCAGATGGAGGCAGCTCCGTTCTCAGCACCTCCGTCTCTCTTTCTCTCAGGTTTTCAGTGGCCTCTCTGCCTCGCTCGCCCCTCTCTGTGCTGCTGCTCCTTTGCCCATGGTGCTTTCTGATTCCTGAGGAGAGAGAGGTTTGATGTGATGGACCTGCTGCCCACCGACTGCTGCTGCTGTTTGCACCGCAGCATCATGGGAGCTGTAGTTTGCGCAGCAGCACAGGAGGACAGCTGATTAGCCGGGGACTGTGGGTGATCAGAGTGTGGAGCTGGTGGGCGGACGAGGCTCGACAAACTCGCACTTTCTATTCTCTCGCTCTCTTTCTCTCACTCTTTTAACCCTCTTTCTCCCTGTTCCTCCCTCCACTCAGCAGTTCTGTCATCGCTCCATCTATCTTTCCCTCCTCTTCCTCCCCTCTTTTCCTTCATTCTTTTCCTCTCACTCTCAATATTTCACCCTCTTCTTCCTCCCTGTTCCTCTCCTCTCGCTCCTCCTGACTGGGCCGACGAAGAGTCAGAATGGGCTGCTGTCTCACTCGGACCAAGGTGAGTGACCTCCTGCAGGTGTGTTTGTGCTGAGAGAGAGAGGGAGACTAACACCACCACTATTTATGAACAGTTTGAATTCCTGAGCAGAAATGCCACAAATGTGAACAAATCTTGAAATATTGCAAAAACGTCTTGACACTTGGCTGAAGTGGAAAAGTTTCTGTTTCAATAAAAGCACAATGTGACAAAGAGCAGCAAAGTCAGACACTGTGCAATGTTTATTAACCTGGTACCAGGTGGAGACTCATGCCACTCAGCCAGAACCTTTACTCAGCCAGAACCTGCGACTCCTCACGCTGAACGGGAGCACGATGCCCCCGGTCGATTTTGTTCAGCGACAGATCCAGTGATGTTCATTCAAACAACTCGGCTACATCCACGGTGTTGACAGCAAGAGAGAAAATGGTGTTACCTAACAGTGTATGTCTGCGGATTGTAAGACGCGGCAAAGCCTGTAGGGCTGTAACGTCACGTGTCCAGCCACGCCCCTGAACTGTAGCTGCAGACAGATGTGGCTGTGGTCGGGGGGGTGCAGTCTGTCTCGCAGCTTGCAGACATACTGTTCTCATTACTTTAGTGATTCTACAGTGAAGGATGAAGAGGATGGAGACAGTAATGTTCGTCTGCTCTCCATCGAAGTTCTGTCGTTATCTTGTAGTTTTAGCTACTACATGTAAAATGCGACTCCCGTAATATTAACGCGTGCTCCTAACAGTCTAGAACAGACCTTCTGTCTCATGGAACTGCTGACACTACAGGCAGCCAACCAAGGTCTCCAACCCAGGAGCCAGACTGTTGCTCGTCCGACTGGGCACCAGAACCTCGCCTGGCTTTAGCCAATTCATCACGGGGTACATGGGTCAGGTGACCAACCAGTGGGGCGTGGAGTGATGAGGAGGCTGCAGCCTAAGCTAATCTTTGACTGGTGTTTGTTTAATGATGTCATCATCTCGTGCCTTCTTCTTCTACTGCGGTTTAATGTCACTGACTGGAAAAATGAGCCGTCCAGCTGTTTATCTTGACCAATAACCTTCCACTATAAACTGGTTTTCAGTTTACAAATTCAAACATTGACGGCTCTGCCGCCTCATTCTGGTTTTATGTTGGTAACGTCAGCGTGTGTGAAAGTCCTGCTCTGTCCTCAGAACCTGCCAAACACTGGAGATGTGCTGCATTAACGCAAAACCCCTGTCAGAGCAGAGTGTGGACAGGCAGAGCTTCACTGCTGAACACTGTGTCCATACAGGATTCAATCAGTGTTAGTGATCAGATGATAAAAAAGACATTCATTTTAATTAGTTTCTCACGGAAATTATAACAATATGATGCATTTTCCATCCAAATCCATCAGTCTGCTCCTCTGGCATCATGCACTGGTTCCCAAACAGAGACTCTGAGCACACGGAGCCTGAGCAGTGCTCATGAAGCGCAGTAAACACAGCCACAGCAGGAGCTGTCAGCCCTGCAGCCTCAGTCCAAACCATCCACAGCTCACAGCAGCGTCCCTTCCTCACATCACCAACATTTTACACTTTATTTTCATGATTCATACAGTTTTAGACACAAAAAACACTTTTGTGTTGCCTCTTCAGTCAGTCTGGATTTTTCGGCCTCATTCCTGCATCTCACTGATGACGCTGCTCAGAATCCTGATGGAAATTTGCATTAATTCACAGGTTTTCCCAAACTGTGGATAAAGTTTGTGCTATATTTAGATGGAAACCCACTTAGAGAGAAAGGGGGAGGAGAGGTCAGATGGTTACTGAGATGACCTGAGCGTGCATCACACACATTTGTCTTTCTTTGTGAACACACACAACACACCCCCTAGCCCCAGCTCTCACACAAAGCCTGACCTAAACCTGACTCTAACCCTGAGCCCTCAGAAAACCCTTCACAGCTGAGAGGACCAGACAACACGTCCTCGCAGCATAAAACGGGTCCTCACAAAGACAGTGATATAACTAGACACACACCCTCTCAGACACACACAGACACACAAATCCCTAACCCAGCAACGTCACCGACAACGGCTGTGCGAGCGGCTCTGATGACTGAAGGCTAAGGACAATGATCTCTGTATGTGTGGATGAGGATGAGGAGGCAGACGATGAGGAAGCCAGAGACACTGGCTAGTGATGCTAGTGCAGGTTCAACAAACAACAACACTGACATTAAAGAAGTATTAATACTGAAAAAATGACGATCTTCAGATTTTTGTTAACCCAAATCTTTTTCAATGCCAAAGATTTTATCAGTGGCAATCTTCAGATTTTTGTTGGGGGGCGGGGCTAAGGAGAGTGGCATGCGCATACTCTGGCTGAGATCTGTGAGGAGAGGACAGCCCTCTCCCCTGAGGCGCTGTTCGCATCCAGTCTTCTGTCTCAGCCTCATAGTAACTGAAGCTGCTTCCTCGATTTCAGCCGGAGCTCTCACACTGTTCCTCTGTGCTGGCGTCTCTACTCACAGAGTTAAAGTGTTGATGGTCTGAGAGCTACTGGTGAACGATGCTGAAGTTGGCTTTTGGTTCGACGTTCTCTGGTTTTACACCTCTGAATGTTGTGAAAGGGTTTTAGTCATTCTAGAAAACTCTTAACACTCAGTGACACCCACTTTCAAAGTCATGAAAACTTTATGAATAATCACAACAAAGGAAAAATATACTGTTCTGATGGTTGTTGTGTTGCTGCTTCCTGTCTGTGTGTCAGCACCATGTACCAGGCTCCAGTGTGAACAGCGCTCAACTCCTAAACTGCCACATGTGCACAGATGTAACTGAGATGTGAGCCACGTGCACACAACAATAACAACCAGGCGGTGTGTGCGACGGTCAAATGGCCCAGTTTCCTCCCAAACCACTGGGTTACGATATGTTCCTCCCAGTTTGTCCTGATCAGAAGTTTCTCCATAAACGTCCACCACATGTGAAACGTCCTGGTCTCTCCACTGTTTTGTGTGAAAAAGGTCTGCTCTCGTCCTCTTCCTCTCAGGATGAATTTAACCTTGGTGACCCCCTGGCTTTTCATCTTGCTGGTAGATTGTAGTGCCATCGTTAGGTCAGAGGTGTCCACTGCTTTCGTTTAGGCTCAAGCACCTGCAGAACTAAGGACACTACCATCATCCTCAGCTGGAC